CCTAACCACACCACCAAACCTGTCTCTAACCTAACCCCTATCCCAACTCAAGAGCACCACAAGTGTTCTCAAATACTTTATGAACACAGTAACATTGTATTTATTTTTTTATGTAAGTACATAGTAATCATAGTAGTTAAGGACACTTATTATAAAGTGGGACCCTGTAAGGTCATAAATATATATATATATATATATATATATATATATATATATATATATGACCTGAATAAACTCAAATAGTAGTTATATTATATAATATAATATATAGTTTAATATATATTAATTAATAAAACAAATCAGCAAAATTGGTATGAAGACTTGTCTAGATAAGGTACATATACATATATATAAGGTGATTTTTTAAATGATTTTTTTCTCCTGAATCTACACTTCTCTTATACACAAAGAAACTATATAAGTTTATTCATATTTATTCATATCTTCATATTGAAACGTTTTACAGAAGAATGTGGTTGATCATAATTTGATTATTTACAACATTTTACTAATGATGAAGTGATAAAAAGAGATTCCAAAAAAAACAGTTAAAAACTGCTAGTCAAAAAATATGTCTAAATATAAATACCATTCATATATAAAACAAAAGAAACATGAATGTTATATATCCAGAGTTTTATGGTAGAAATGCATGCACAATAATTGATATTTAAATAAATCAATTGCCTATTTCAAGAGTTCACACTTAGCTGATGATTGTTTATAAAGCTTGTTTGACATGCTGTCCCGGGAGAGAGCCCTAAGCTCATAAGATCCTCAACCCCGGGGCTCGCTCAAGTTTGCAAGGCGAGAGGGGAGTTTGAGCTCAGGTAGATCTCAAGAACTCCAGACTAACTAAACTTTCAGTTTATCTTAATTTCAGTTCAAGATTTAGGAAATTTGTTTTCGTCATGTTTAATTTCTGTATATTATAAAAATATACTAAAATATATTTATATATCAAAAAATACCAATCTATTCTAATAAAAATATATATTTTTCCCTATATTCCTGCATCATATAGAGTATATACACTCACCGGCCACTTTATTAGGTACACCTGTCCAACTGCTCGCTAAAACAAATTTCTAATCAGACAATCGCATGGCAGCAACTCAATGCATTTAGGCATGTAGACATATTCAAGACGATCTGCTTCAGTTCAAACCGAGCATCAGATTGGGGAAGAAAATTGATTTAAGTAACATTAAATGTGGAATGGTTGTTGGTGCCAGCTGGTCTGAGTATTTAAGAAACTGCTGATCTTTTGGGATTTTCTAGCACAACCCTCTCTAGGGTTTACAGAGAATGGTCCGAAAAGGAGAAAATTTCCAGTGAGCGGCAGTTCTGTGGGCACAAATGCCTTGCTGATGTCAGAGGAGAATGGCCAGACTGGTTTCAACTGATAGAAAGGCAACAATAACTCAAATAACCTCTCGTGACAAAGGAGGTATGTAGAAGAGCATCTCTGAATGCACAACGAATCAAACCTTGAGGAGGATGGGTTACAACAGTAGAAGACCTAACTATGGCTACAATTGGCACAGGCTCACCACAATTGGACAATAGAAGATTGGAAAAACGTTGCCTGGTCTGATGAGTCTCAGTTTATGCTGCAACATTTGGATGGTAGGCTCAGAATTTGGCATGAACAACATGAAGCATCGATCCATCCTGCCTTGTATCAACAGTTCAGGCTGCTGGTGGTGGTGTAATGGTGTGGGGGATATTTTATCTTCACACTATGGGCCTATTAGTACCATGTACATCTCAGACTGATTTCTTGAACATGACAATGAATTCACTGTACTCAAATGGCCTCCACAGTCACCAGATCTCAATGCAATAGGTCAATATGGTCCAAAAGCTCTGCTGAATATTTTCAGTATCTTGTTGAATTTGTACCATAAAGGAATTAAGGCAGTTCTGAAGGCAAAAGTGGGTCCAACCCGGTAGTAGGGTGTACCATAAAGTGGCCGGTGAGTGCCAAAATGCTCAACATTAAAATTCTGGTCAAAACCCGACTTAACCCGAATTTTAACCAGACTATCCAATGTTGAGCTTTTTTAAGGTAGAAATGGACATAAAACTAGTGAATATTTAAAAATAACAGTTGAGAATGTAATGTAATGTTTGCAGTTCTTCATGTCATCCGTCAACTGTAGTTTTAAGAACTACATTAGTTAATTTTACCCTATTCACCCCCAGTGTCCTGCCTTAATCAAGCAGAGTAAATGTTCACAATCACTGAAGTAATGAAGCCACAAAAGGAAACATGCTTAGGTAAACAGCAATTAGCATCAATTAGGGAAGGACAGACCTCGCAGTAATCATCGGGATCTGGACAATCACTGTCTGATTTCCCAGCCTTCAGTTTGAGAAGTGATGGACGCCATGTGACATCAAGCTTCACTGATTCTGCCTGTTCCTGCACAAAACACACAATACGCATGTCCTGCATGTCTAATCATCACATCTTATGCAAAAACATCTAAATCTTCTGAAATCTTCCTGATCCTTGTGTACTTACTAAAAGCAGGTTGCAGCGAGTGGCGATTTCCAGCAAGATAATAGAGTAGCTTGAGAAAGGCAAGAAAAGACAAATGTTTATTTCATGCTTCCACAAATTGCCTGTCTGGGACGCTTCTGTAAAATATACAAAACATTTGCATGTGCATGAAGATAAGAGCAAGGGCATTCTGGTTTTGCAGAGATAATAATGTCGCTTTTATTAAGACAAACGCACACAGAAAATGGTTCTTCTGCACTTCTTTTTCACTCATATAATTATAGTGGAACCAACTTCAGACCTTAATAGCATTGGTCATTCATTCGTCTTTCTTTGAGGTGGTTAAGGCGTTATGTAGTAACATATTTAGAGATATAGTACTATGATCCCAAATAAATAAATACATTTTAAAAAACAATATTAGAACTATTTACACCATTTTCAGAGCAAGTTTTAATTTGTGTTAATTTTTTTAAATGTTATTTTAATTGTTTGTAAAGTTTTAGCAATTTTGTTTTGTTTTTGTAATTTCTGTATAGTTTTGCAAATGGTGCTTATCAGTTATTTTAAAACATCAAGGATTAATAAACAGAAGTAAGCAATATTTTCTTGCCAATTAGCTGAAATAAAATAAGTTCTTCAGTTAACATTTATTTAATAAAGGTTTTAAATGTTTTTGTTCGTTTTGACATTCCTCTTTTAGTATTACATTCACAAGTTGTTTTGGAGAAAAGCATCTAAATTAATTCATGTAAATGTAAATATAAGTACAAATTTATTTTAAATGTTTTTCCTAACTAATAACCCAAGTCTGTCTTTATATGTTAATATCATTTAATTTTTCCCTAAATTAACTTAACACAAAATTCAGTAGACTTTAAACATTTACACTCCTTGTAAGCGCCTTTCAAGTACCTTTTTTTAATAACTCACTTAAAAATATTCCAAATATATGCTGTTTAATATATGATATAATATCGACACTTTAAAAGATGGCAAAAAAGATCAACCATTTATCCCCAATTTTACCATATCATCACATAGTCACTATTAGTGGTCAAAAGAAATTCAGGTCCTATATTCATTTTTAAAATACTTCTATTTACAGTACTTCTTATGTAAATAATAATAAATCAAATATACAATGTTTTTTGTTACTAATTAGCTAAAATTAAATATGTAAAGGTTTGCATTTATTTTAAATTAATTTAACTCTTCTTATCAATGTTTTATTTTAATGGTGTTTTAATGGTGTTTTGTTTCGTCACACACGCACACACACATACACAAAGACACACACAAAACTTGTTTGGGGTCAGTAGGACTTTTAAATGTTTTAAAATAAACTTCTCCAGCTCACCAAGGCTGCATATATTTAATAAAAAAGACAGTAAAAATTGTGAAATGTTATTGCACTATAAAAATATTTATTGCACTGTTCAAAAGTAGTTTACAATTCAATTTAATAATTTATTCCAGTGATTATAATGCTAAATTTCAGTCTTCACATGATCCTTTAGAAATAATTCTAATGCTAATTATTATTATTATTATTATTATTATTATTATTATTATTAATGGTAATAAAAACAATAATGACTGAGTAATAATAAGAAACTAAATACAGTAAGTAAAAAATAAATATTTAATAAATTATTTAATAATAATAATTTAATAAGTATTTAACAATATTTTTTTTTTACTTTTAATAAATGTCGTCTTAATGAACAGAATAACAAATAAAAAACAATAGTGTATACAGTAGTGTATATATAATTTATTTATTCATTAATTTATTATTTATAATTTATTATATTATTTATTCATTAATTTCTCCCACCTGTACACATCAGCTGCAGCTGTGAAGTTTGCACTGATTCTCAACAGGACTTCAGGAGCACAATAAATGCGATAGATGTTTTGGCACTGGTCACTGGTGCTCATGTTCTCAAAGTCCTCTTTTTTGTACGCCATTAACCCATAGTCTGTATTATTAAATACGTGTTCATAACTGAGAATATATTTCATGTTTGAATAAACAAGCCTTCCTCTCAGCTCATAAGATCCTGGAGCCCTGGGCTCCCTTCCATCTGCAGGGCGAGAGGGAAGTTGAGCTCAGGTAGGTCTTGAGAACTACGAATGTAAATACATTTAAATACAATAAATTTACATTCAAGAAACTCGAATGTAAATTCATGAATGATGAATTGGCAGCGGTGGACTGTGGCATAAAAAAAAGCATTGTGCTCATCTCTCATCAGCAATTGCTTCAGCACATGATTTCTGTTTATATTATTAATATGCTTTAAATACTTTAGCTCACTTTTGCAGGAGTCCAGAATGTAATGAAGACTACAACTTCCACATGATTCCAAGCATCATCAAACTACACCTTTGTTTGTTGTGAATATGCAGCAAAAATGACATACTGAGCCTTAAATTCACTTGCACATTGTATTATACATTTTAAATATAATTTTACATATGCGTATACAATATTTTTAAGAGTTGTGGGTATAGTTGTATATGGATATTGTGGGTATTACCGGACCTCCTTGACCTGTTTTCTGATTGTTTTATTGAGAGTGAAGTGTTTCTTCTGGACGTGTTTTACCGCTACAGTTCTTCCATTTCTGAAAAAAAAAAAAACAAAGCACAAAACAAATGAAGCAAAGAAAAGCACAACCAATAATGCAAAACACAACACAACACAAATAAAACAAAGCAAAAGAAAAGAAAAATAAAAGTTAAGAAAAAACTAAACAAAAAAAAGTTAAAAAGCAAAGCAAGCTATTCAAGTTAAAATGCAAACAATGCAACTCTAAACAAAGCTAAACTAAATGAAAGGAAAAACAAAAATGAAAGCAAGGCAAAACAAAACAGAAAAGCACAAAAGTAAAGCAAATGTAAAAATCCATCAATCAATTCCCCATTATCTAGTATAAGTACAATAAATGCATTCATAACATCAGTATCAGATACTGGATTTAAAAATGGTCAAATAATGGACTAAATTTCATATATCAGCCTATCGACAAAAATCATTTAAAATCATTCGAATAATTAGTAGAAGAATTCCAATTACCAAGAACAGATTTCTACAGATATTTACAAATAAGAGATTATCTTACAAAACATAAAGAATAGGAGAATATCATCAATCCAAATGAAATAGAGAAGTTAATGATGAAAATACAGATGGGGGCTACTGGCAAGCAAATTATTTCTAAACTATATAAAAGTCTGTTATAATATCATCTATATATAATACTTTCGCATATAAAGAATGGTGGAAAGCTGAAATGCAGGTAGATATTACACAAGAAAACTGGACTGATAAATGCTCAGAAGCCCATAGAGTCACAAACTCAAATGTATGGAGAGAATTCAAGTGGAAAATCATTACAAGATATTTCCCCATCCCACAAATTGAAGTAAAGATAAGAAAAGGCTCATTTAATAGATGCTGGAGAGAATGTGGTGATCATTGTGGAATGAAATCTATAAGGTACTTAGAGACATATTTTGTATTGATATTCCCTTTGATCCAACTGTGGCAGTCCTATGACGCCTGAGAGCATGGGGAAAAGAAGCAGTATTTATTTATTTCAAATACTGCTCTATGCAGCACTAAAATGTATTACGTCTAACTGGCTCAGATCAGACTCACCTATGTGTAAACAATGGATCAAAAAAATAAAAAATTTGTGAAATGGAAAGAATACATTTTGCCTTAAACTTCAGATGAATATATTTGAAGCAAGTTGGAACCAAACTTTAAACAAAAAACAGATTTAATAAACAGCTACATTACATACACAATAAGCATATGAGACATCTCCCAATTGCCCGCCCCCCTTTTCCTTTTGAATTATTATTATTTTTTATTAATTAATTAATTTATATATATATATATATATATATATATATATATATATATATATATATATATATATATATATTGCAACACAATATATATTGTTTTAAAATAAAACTGTACTAATGTCTTTTTTTTTCCTTTCTCCCTATTTTTTTTAAGTATCCATTTGTATCCTTATATCAACGGTTAAGGCTGGTTGTGGTGGTGGTGACTATTTCTGATGTGTTATGTTCTAATAAAAAAAGTGAAGCAAACAAACAAACCAAGCAACATTATAATGGCAATCTAACTTTTTGATTTATTGGCTTCGTATGAATCTTATTCATAAAATTTTCCCATCCCATAATGAGGGTAGGGGTTTTAGTGCCATGGCTACTTTTCAATATCGTACACTTTCATATCTGACAAAATGCAAATTAGTTATGTTTTATCATAAGATCAAGCTGAACCTTGATCAAAACATAAACAAATAAGTAAGCTTAAGTTTATTGATTAGAGAGGACAAACACGCACAAGATGCCAGCCTAAAGGTAGAGAGGTTTGACATTGATGTTCACTGCAGTGCAGACTGTCACGTCTGTTACTCGACTCACACTTGAGTTCCTCTTTGCTGTCTAAAGGCTTGTGGTGCTACAAAAAACCTGTGTATATGCAACAAAATCAATGCCAAAAGTATTTAATTAAAAAGCTAGTTGAATAGCACAAACTGAAAAAAATAATACACCGTATTAACAAGTTCTGGCATTTTAATGACTTAAATTCCACGGTTTGTATTTTTAGGTCCTGAAATTTAACATATCTGTTTATTTAACCTGTGAATATTTCAATGAAAGATATTTCAAACATGTTTTCATACTTATAAATTCAATAATTCATTCAATTTCCAGATTTAACTTACCAAGTATTCAATACCCTTCAAAAATACGATGTATAATATTCAAAAGGTAATTGTCAGTTTATTTTATTTCAGTTCAAATGTTCGCTTTTATAAATTCAATGGTTCAAATTCAACTGTTAAAATTCAACATTACATCCAGGAACTGCAAGAAAAGCAATAGATTGCAGACTGAAGATTGCCAGCTGATAGCTTTCACCAGCAGGTGGAGATGGAATAATTTAGGCAAGGCAAGTTTATTTATATAGCACATTTCATACACAATGGCAATTCAAAGTGCTTTACATAAACAAGAATAAAAGAAACAAGTATCAGAAAAATAAAAACAAACAATAAAAATGATTAAAAAAACAGATAAAATGTGATATAAAAGAATGAAAAAGAAGAGAAAAACATAAAAGTGCGATCTGGCGGACGTTACAGTGCTCATTCAGTAAAGGCACAGCTAAACAGATGTATTTTTAGTCTTAATTTGAATGTGCCTAATGTTGGAGCACATCTGACCATTTCTGGAAGCTGATTCGAGCAGCGAGTGGCACAGTAGCTGAAAGCTGATTCACCCTGCTTTGACTGAACTCTTGGAATTTTCTTTTTATGATCCTAAAGATCTAAGTGATCTGTTAGGTTTGTATTCAGTGAGCATATCTGTAATGTATTGAGGTCCTAGGCCATTTAGTGATTTATAGACCAATAATAATATTTTAGAATCTATTCTGAATGTAACTGGGAGCCAGTGTAAACACCTGAGGACAGGTGTGATGTGCTCTGATTTTCTGGTTCTGGTCAGAATCTTGGCTGCAGTGTTCTCGATGAGCTGTAACTGTCTGACTGTCTTTTTAGGAAGACCAGGGAGGAGTCCATTACAGTAATCCACCCTGCTGCTGATAAAAGCATGAACAAGTTTCTCTAAGTCTTCACTGGAAACAAAGCATCTGATTCTTGAAATGTTTTTAAGATGATAGTATGCTGATTTACTTACTGCTTTGACATGACTATTTAAACTTAGATCTGACTCTAGAGTCACACCAAGATTCTTGACCTTATTTTTTGTTGTTTGACCTTTAGTGCCAAAGTACGCATTTACCCTGAGAACCTCATCTCTGTTCACAAACGCAATGACTTCAGTTTTCTTTTTGTTTAACTGAAGAAAATTTTAGCACATCCAACTATTCATTTCATCAATGCACTGGTAGAGGGTGTGGGGCTGTAGTCATTAGGCAGTAAGGCTAGGTAGATCTGAGTGTCATCAGCATAGCTGTGGTATGAGATTTGAAACTATTTAAGATTTTTAACCCAGTAAACAGGCTAGAAAAAAGCTAATAAAGGCACAAAAGTAGCATTAAATATTAATATCAATGTCTTGGACATTATAAATAATAAAAGGAGTATGAGTAAAATGAGTAAATAATGTTTTGGTCATCCATATTTGCCCTTATGTAACGGAAGCCAGCTGGTGATCGTGTAAATCTCACTCCTTGGATCCAGCAACAGACGTTGTTCTGCAATCTTTAGCATCCTCTGAGCATTTGTCTCCCATGCCGGTATCGCCGGCTCACTCCCTGCTCTGACCGGTTGCTTACATGCACATAAACCGTCTTTTGATGAATATGATGTTACACATTCTATCTTTATTAACTCATTCTTCCATGGACGTGAAGTATTATATTGACAGCTAAAGTTATAAACGTAAGAGAAACAGGAGAGGACATATTATAATAATACAAAATAGACAAACATTGCCAGGGCTAAGTACAATTAAGAACAAACAAATACAAAAGAGGTTTTATGAGAACGTCACACAAAACAGTTTACTTGGAACTGTAAACAGAGAGTTCGGGTATGATTTAAGGTTGTGTATGGATGGGACGTGTAATTGAAAATAATTTAACATAACCTGCGAGTGCATTAAAGGAGCATCTTCAGTTATTCATACAGAACTGTCTAATAAATGGCATAACCATAAGGGGTTATTAGACTAAGTGTTTGAGCTGTTTAAATGCAGCTATGTCAGGATTGGGATAGGTTATATATTTTCATTATTTGAATTATTATTATTATTACAAGATCATCATAATTTAAATACAATTTAAATTCACTATTGTTGATCCTGGATGATCGTCATCATTTAAATACAGTGTAAATTCACTATTGTTGATCCTGGATCATCATCATCATCATCATCATTTAAATACAGTGTAAATTCACTATTGTTGACCCTGGATCATCATCATTTAAATACAGTGTAAATTCACTATTGTTAATCCTGGATCATCATCATCATTTAAATACAGTGTAAATTCACTATTGTTGATCCTGGATCATCATCATCATTTAAATACAGTGTAAATTCACTATTGTTGATCCTGGATCATCATCATCATTTAAATACAGTGTAAATTCACTATTGTTGATCCTGGATCATCGTCATCATTTAAATACAGTGTAAATTCACTATTGTTGATCCTGGATCATCGTCATCATTTAAATACAGTGTAAATTCACTATTGTTGATCCTGGATCATCATCATCATTTAAATACAGTGTAAATTCACTATTGTTGATCCTGGATCATCATCATCATTTAAATAAAGAGTAAATTCACTACTGTTGATCCTGGACCATCTCTACCTGCTGGTGAAAGCTAGAGCAGCTGGCGATCTTCAGTCTGTAATCTATTGCTTTTCCTGCAGTTCCCGGATGTAATGTTGAATTTTAACAGTCGAATTTGAACCATTGAATTTATGGAAGCGAATCTTTAAATAAAATTAACTGAAAATTACCTTTTGAATATTTTACATCATATTTTTAAAGGGTATTGAATACTTTGTAAGTGAAATCTGGAAATTGAATATGAATTT